TGTAAATTGTATTGTGATGTGTAAATGTACACGATGACGATGCAAATTGGTAGCAAATTAATATGTGGTAATCAGGTTTATCCAATGCTAAACTAACTTGATTCCTGACCCACCATAAACTTATTTTCTTACACCCATTTCAAAACAATAAAGTAGATTTTTGTTTGAATGTACGTATCCCTGGAAACAAACTGGTTATTATCAGAATCATCATATTTGACATGACACATTTTGCCGCCTTCTGCTGAGACAACTGCTCAGTATAACAACGTATTCGGTAAAAATAGTAGATCTAGAGATGTCTATTTGCTATTCGAAATTCAACCAAAGGTGGGCCCCAAATTAATACAAGTGCCTGTAGTCTATATAAATAAGAACATCTTGTGCTCATATCTTATCTTTAAAATGTCTGGAAAGCTTTATCACAATCAAAGGTCAAGGTACATACTATGAAATCTGTCGAACAGTTATGTACCCGTGGATTTATACTAAGTATGGACTAACTAAACAAAATTTTACCTAAGCTTTAATGAAATTATTGTATACACAAGCCTTACAGTGCTTACTTTAGGCTAGGCTATTAAGGATCGATCCGAAGTCAACAAATCAACTCAAAACCACCTTAATTGTATTCTATTAGTATTATAGTATTGTAACGTAGTGTTCTAATATGGTTTAGGAGGAATGTTATCCCAGGTAATTGATATAACACTTACGTCCGTCTTTTTTTCAGGTCCGTGGATGCACTGATTTATTTATTTATTACGTTTCCCTTCCTTTTCAGGCTGCGTCGTCAGAATTAACTTTTTACGCAACGCACTGAATGGAAGTCCACAAAAGGGATATTTTTCCCGTTTCACATTTTTCATTGATGTTTTGCTCCATATAGAGAAATAACACAAAAATAATTTTGCAAATCGGACCAGTAGTTTCTGAGATAAGCGAGTTCAACCAAACCAACGCGTTTAACCAAACCAATACACAAACAAAACCTAGCGCGAGCCGAGCGCTAGAGCTCTGTGACGTCACAGCCACCACGCGGGCCAGTCGAAAAATTCATTCAGTAATTTGGTCATAACTTTGCCAATATTTGTCGTAGAACAAAATTTTAAACGCTGTATTTTATGGAATCCTTAGCTCTATAAATCTGCATTCCTCATTGGTGCGAGTGTTAGATATTTATTTATTTATTTACTATTGTAAGTAAACTAACAATAGTTTAAGAATGAATCAATTACTTTCTATATGGAATGAACATTTCTGAAATCTATCTATGTATATATAAAATCAATTGCTGTTCGTTAGTCTCGCTAAAACTAGAGAACGGCTGAACGGATTTATCTTATCTTGGTCTTGAAATGTTCGTGGAGGTCTAGGGAAGGTTTAAAAGGTGAGAAAAAATCGAATTCTACACTACAGCTCTACACCGAAGCGAAGCGAGGGCGGGCCACTAGTGATAAATATTAACATCTATTAGGTTTTGAAAAACTTTATGTAAATATACCGGTGGTTTTTCGTAAGGACGCAACGATACAAATTCGATAATCGTATATCGGGAATTATCGTTATTTTGTACGATCATTCGCTATAATAAATTTCGATTTTGTATTGTAATCGAAATTTATAAAAATACTATTACTTAAATAAAAATCATGATGCATTGTATCGTAATTCGTTATCGTATTGGGTCATTACGACGTATTCGTTATTCGTATTGATATCGTAATTATCGAAAAAAAATACGAAATAAAATTGTTTTAAGTGTTTGTGCAATGGATAGAATAAGCCAATGTAGGTTACGACGACAAAGTACATTATTTTTGACCATACAATTAAATGTATGGTTTGTCAATTTTCTAAATAAAAATTCCAACTTTACTAAATAAATCAAAAGCCTACTAATCTTTGCAAAGAATTTAATCTTAATGTCAATAGAGACTCGCTGATATCACGCAACTTATATGTTTATCTTGCTTCTAGATCATGAAGGAGCAGAAAGGTACCTACTGCGTCCAAAAGCCCAGCCTCAGATTTGTGATAAGAACAACTACTTATTTAGCATGATGAGCATAATTTAAGTGGAGTAATAAGGAAGTACCTATTCCTATTGGTTTATATTTGTTAAAAAAGTGACGTTGGTACTTTGCTAGTAAATATAAGCATGTTCAGAAAAACTTTTAATAAAAATAAAGTGCTGTCTCATTTATCAGTTAAAAACAGTAGTGAATAATTCAATTAGTTCATGACAAATTCATTAGGGTTTGGTTGTTTGATCATTAATAAAACTAGTCATTTATAAAACTTTATTCAGTAACGCCTTTTCTATTAATTTAAAATTATACTTCATCAAGTAGGGGGTCACTGAAATTACTTTTCTTAAAATCCAGGATAGGATTATCTTATTATTCGTTATCTTGTCTGTAGGGGGATTGGTGGAAATTAAAATCACCGACTATGAATGTTATTTCATATATATATCAGTAGGCATATAGTTAAGAGGATTCTTTTAGGAGAAAATAATCTGAATAAAGAAAGGGGTCGTCGACTCGAGAATCATATCTATGATCGCCGAGCGCGTGCCCGAAGTCGGTCGACGGGCGGCGTCAAACGCTATCATCAATACTCCCATAAATTAATGGATGGAGCTATAAGTTTAACAGTCTCATATTTGTGTGAAACTGTTTTCCATGCATCTTTGTCTATCTTATGGAGTGTAACTATGAGCTAAAGAGCAGTATTCTGCAGACCTCCTATCTGGTTAATACATAATCAAGAGTTGATTTCAAATTGAAAACACGTTTTATTTCATTTTCATATCAATAACCCAAACCACAATGTGAATTATTGTCAGAGACCTCACAATAAGCAAAATGGCCAGCGTAGCAATATTCTTCCTCGTTGTTCGCACATTTATGGGCAGATTTCGATGATTTAGTTTTAGGGTTCCATACTCAAAGGGTAAAAACGGAGCCCTATTGCTGACATTCTGTCGACTGTCTGTCCTTTCGTATGCCGCGGATTTCTAGATCGTAAACAGAATGAGTATGAAATGCTAGAAACGACATCAATGTTTCCTTGCGCGCCACTGACATAACGTTTATGAAAAAAAATACGAAACAATACACACCCCCTAGTAAAGGACATCGACGAAATCGGCCCTATCATGCCCAAAAGAATTTCCTTCACTATTATTTTTCTATTATTTTTTTAACTTATTAGCAATTAATCATAGTTAACGGACAATCTGTTTAAAAAAATAAAAAATAAAAGTTCTGTTATTAGATACTACAGTCTGTTCATCCAACTTGGCACTCCTTTTTATTGAAAATACAGCATTAAAAATCAACTGAAAACTGGACTCAATAGGTTTCAGTCTATAATAACGATTTATTTTAATAGTTTATTGGCTTCGTTAATATTTTATTATTAAATGGGTGATTCTGTTAAAAAGTTGTGCCAAGATTGTTTACCTTAATAAATGCAATAAAGGCGACCATAGGTATTTATCAACATAAAAATAGAACTAGATACCTTAGTTAATAATACTTATTATATTAATAAAAAGATTATTTCTGAAATTATGTAAAGATAGTTTATACTCCCATCCCATGTAATATCTGTTTATTTAACCAGGTACATACCTAATTACCGATAGTAAAATATAGAAACAGGTAAATGGAAAGACTGAAGATTTCATTTGAAAAGAAATCTATTATTACCTACTACAGGTAGGTATAGGTATCATAGGTGCCAACTGACAACACTCATAAATCAATATGAATATAAGCATTTATTATTTTTATTATTAATTACATTTTATGTTCATTTAATGTATATTATTTAAGTGCTTACATAGAGGTAAACACTAAATCTATTCAGAATATATAAAGTGTACATCTTTTACGATTAAATATAATAATTATAACCTAAAAATCTAATACATTCTGTAGTAGTCCACGGTTCCTCAACTTGTCCGTATCTCAACAAATGCTTAATTAGAGTTTATGAATGATTCCGAACACAACTAGCATTTTCTCATTGCTGGGCGTTCTAGGGCATTCAATGTATGGGGAACGAGCAATGTCCTTTGCTATTACTTATTCACGTCGAAACGATACACAGAAAGAGGGTTCTTTATATTCAGGAATATCAAAAAATTGGAAAATATTTTCGATTGACGTTTCAATGCTATTTTTATCTAGAATTTTCAACCTTATCGCGAATGTTCAAACCACATTTCAAGATCCCAAATTATAGCATCTGACTGTACCAACCGTCATCGTCAGCATACCATGATTCAAGTATACGTACACAAACATACGCCTGACTAGTTGAAGTTCCGAACCCAACGCTTTAATAGACTTCTTGATGATTCTTTATTCGTATTAATTACTTGGGATTGAGCCAAGAATGCTTTATTACATGTATGTATGCAACAAATAGTTCAATTGATGAAACTGCTTCTCTTCACACCAATTTTCATTATTTGAGAAAACTATGTAGCGTTACAAAGATAGCTGCTTTGTTAAATTTATTTATGTTTAACTTATCGGTAGTTACATGTTGTTTAAGTTTCGTGATATTTTAATTTAAGAACTGTCATTAAGGTTTTCTCTTTAACAAGTTTCGTTTCTTGGTGTTTAGAATATAATAAATAGGCAAAAGTAAGTTTTATTTCTTCGTCTTTTCTTTATGTATTTCCTTTTATTTTGCTTGTGGTAAATTAAGTACTAATTAATGATTTCGGATTTAACAAAAGTTTGTTACGTCCCAGACATTCAGTTTTGCATAAACAAAACAGAATGAGATAATACGAAATCTTTTCTAATAATACCAATTAACTAAATTATAAGATAAATAAAATCAGAAAGCAGTGCTTATGTTGAATATCAATAATAACAAAACGAAAAAATATTGTAAAGGTAAATGGAAGCCTAAGAACTACAAAGAGGCCTAAAAAAAGACAAAGATAATGAAATTAAGTATAGTACAGGACAAACCTGGATGGACATTGTTCTCTGCCGCTGCACCTGAGGGCGGCCACTCTCCTCCGTAGGCGCTTCCTCCTCCAACAGTTCTTCGAACAAAGCTGACGTAGACACTTCCTCGAAGGTACCTTCCTTTTCAATTTGTCCCTTAAAGAAATTTTGCAAATTTATTATTTCTTATAATGTTGTAGACATTGTACAAAGGTTGAGTTAACATTGACAGCGGCTGTAGTGCAATTTAGTAAATTACCGACTCCAAAACCGTTGCCGTTCGGCTATCAGTGTCTTAAAGTAAATGATAAAATTACGGATACCTATCTGTGTCAAATACTCTACTTCCGTTTCGTCGAATCTCAAGTCAAAACGATAGTAAAAAGTTTTCACTTCAAAATTTACTTACGAAATTTAAATACACATAATGCTTCATTCATAAGTTCACACAAGGGCTCAGCTTTCCATTACCTGTAATTGAGTTGCAAGCTGAAATTTTTGTCACGCAAAGTATTAATTATTAAAAACACGTACACGAGATCTTTTTAAGCGGAAACGAATAGAACTCGAGAAAAAAATTATTGAAAATTAATGTTTTTGTAGGTTATAAGTCATTTTGACAGCAATTTTGATCAGTGCTGCCATTTTTTTATGCAAAAACAACATGTTTCTCGTTGTCTATGGTAAAAATAAGTTTATTATGTTGGTACTATTGTTAAAATGTGACAATTTACCGCCATTAATGAGATCTGTCAGTCAGTGTTTGTGTTCTGGAAACTGGAAGGCACGTTAAGCCGTTGGTCCCGGCTGCATCTGCAGTCGTTAGCACCCACCAACCCGCACTGGGCCCGCGTGGTGGGTCATGGCCCAATCTCCCTATTCCATCCATAGGGAAGGCCTGTGCCCCAGCAGTGGGGTCATTAATAGGCTGATGATGATCATGAACTTTAAAATTAAAAGTACAGGTTTTTATAAAATGCACATACTACAACAACTAGGGCATCGAGAAAGGGTTTACCCGGTCTAGAAAAGCCCGGGTTTTTCCGGTTTTAAGGGATACACAAAAGTAAGTATTTTATTTTTGTCGTCGTCAACCCTGGGCGATGTTAGTCTCCCTAACGTTGCCAAGTAGACTACAGATAAGTCCAAGTGATAAGTTACTTATACGAAAACGCCTCCATGTTTGCCAGACCACTAATGATTCTATCCAACTGCAGCGAGACGTGAAAAGGGGGGAAGTATTATCTGCGAAACTGTTCCAACTACATTGGAGGATATTTTCAAGCTTCTGAAGTGGAAAGGACGCAGCATCAACAATAATGGAGAGTGCCTTACATATCTTCGTTTCGCTGATAATGTAGTAGATACTTATGACTGAAACCTTGAAGGATCTGAATACGATGCATGAAGATTTTAGTAGTGCTTCCCTAAGAGTGGGTCTTAAGATGAACATGGATAAGATGAAAATCATCTCGAATGTCCACGTAATCGACTCCAGTTAAAATTAAGAACACTACACTCGAAGTTGTTGACCACTTCATAATTATACCTGGGACAAGAAGTCCAGTCAGGTTAAGTCTAACTTCGAAAAAGAGATCTCTCGTCAAATCCAGCTCAGATGAGCAACGTTCGAGAAATTACGTAAATCTCCACGTCTTCTCTACCTCAGTGCGACAAAAGTCTTTGACCAGTGTGTGTTGCCAGTGCGGACCTATGGAAGCGAAACGTGGTCGTTTACTGCGGATATGACAAGAAGGTTCAAAGTCACTCAGCGAGCAATGGAGAGAGCGATACTGCTATCACTACGCGATAAAATCATAAATGAGGACATCCGTAAAAGAACTTTACTAATTATATTGCTCAAAGGATTGCTCTGATGAAGTGGCAGTGGATGGGACACGTAGAGGAGAACGATGGTAGTTGGGGCGTTGCCACTTGCATGTAGTAGCACAATTTATTGCGCTGCAGCGATAAGCTTCGTGGAAATACGTTGCTTTGTGTTACATTGAGGACGCAAATTGAGTTTTGAGATATTATCTATGTACCTTACTCTACAGAGATAAAGAGACTGAGCGACAGATTTTGCGCTTGCTTTAGTGACGCCTGTAAACAGTACATCGAATATAGATCTTCTACAGAATACCAAATAATAAAAAAGAGGGAGAGGAGAAGGATCAGTTAACACATACAGATCAGTAATGCAGGAAAATTAATCTCTGGATAAGGAAGTTAAAGTAATAATTCTTTAATTTTTTTTACATCTGCATAGTTTGACGAAATGACACACCCTGACACCTTAATTACACAGTCAGGTCATAAGTATTGTCACACCGTAAAAACTATTCTTTTAGAATGCTGGCCACAAAAAAGTTTAATGAATTCAAATTTCGAATTGTTCATGAAAATAAAAATGTATACTTTTAAGAATTTTACTCATTTTTAAATATGGAGTGGACTCTAAAATAATACGCCATTATTCTGTAGTAGTTGTGTAATTATATTATATAGATTGTACAGTTTTGAAATTCTTGTGTTAACAGCGAACTACCGTTAAAATTACACAGTATAATTACGAGAAGGAATAAGTAGATAAGTTTTATGTAATTTGTTTAATTACATAGTTAAATTGTCTTGTTTTATGATAATGCCATGAATAAAATTATCTACCATTTTACATCTCGTCTACTAGGCGCTTAAGTGGTTATATATTATGTGACGTCAAGATACAATTTGCGCCAGAAAAATATTATTATTTGATGTCAACTTCATCAATGGATTCTTAATATACCTAGTCAGGTCATAAATTCTGTCACATGTTTAATATAAAATAATTGAAACAAGTTATTAATTCATCATCGACTCATGCTCGTCCACTGCTAGACATAGGTCTCTCCTAATGCACGACACTGCTTCCGATTTTCTGGCCACTCTCATCCAGCCCACTCCAGGCAGCCTTCGAATGTCATCATCTCATCTTGTCTCAGGGCGTCCCACACTACGTTTACCGAGTCGCGGTCTCCACTCAAGAACTTTACGGCTCCATCGGCCGTCAGTTCTGCTGCTAATGTGACCAGCCCACTGCCACTTCAGTTTGCTAATTCGGTGGGCTATGTCGGTGACTCTGGTTCTCTGTCGGATTACATCATTTCTGGTGCGGTCCTTCAGGTATACTCCGAGCATAGCCCTTTCCGTAGCTCTCTGAGCGACTTTAAACTGGTGGACCAGTCCAGCCGTGAGTGTCCACGTCTCGGCGCCGTATATCATAACTGGGAGGACGCACTCGTCGAAGACTTTCAACTTAAAACATTGAGGGATGGGTGACGAGAAGACTTGACGAAGCTTATGAAATTTTTAGTTATTCATTATGTAACCATTTATATACCAAAATGAACTTAACATAACATAGATTCTTATGACAATAAAGTTTATTCAAAATGACCTCCGTGATTTTGAATACAGGCCTTCAATCTGCGCGGCCAGTCGTCTATCGCAGCACGAACGAGGTCCATGTCAATATCGGCGGCTGCCTTAACCAAGGATGTCTTGAGTGACTCCAAATTGGGATGAGGCCTTGCCTTGAGCACGCCTTTTCTTCCAAGTGTTGCCATATCTTGTAATCTAACGGACTAAAATCTGGACTGGAGGAGGGCCAGTCTTAGTGCCGGATGAAGTCGATTTCACGATTCACAGCCAGTCTTGTGTGCTCTCCGCTCTATGAGCTGGCGCCGAATCTTGTTGCAATACCCTGTGCCTGTTATTGAACATGGTATGAGAAACAGGTTCCACAAGGTTCGTCAGAACTGTATTTTGATACACAGCTGCATTCGTTTTTACACCTTTCTCACAAAAATGTACAGTGGGGGTCACGGCCGCCTGTACACTTCAAAAAATCTTTCCTGTGCAAGCGCTAGACGGGTGATTTTACGGGCCCATCCTGATTGGTCGTAGTATTTTACTATAACCAATTAGAATAGCGCTGCACGGGTGCAGTTATGAATGGTGCAACAACAATGTTTATTTGTTTACTTTAGTCGGTTTTTGCATTTCGCTTATTGTTGACGCTTCTTGGATTGTTCGATTTACGTTTGACCCTGCATTATTTTTGGACTGATACCTGTTTTTACTTAACGATGGTGCTAGAAACAGGACATTTGTTTGCTTAACGTGACCTTGGCGAGAATTTGGACCATGTCTTCAAGAAACCTCTCTATACAAGAGAGGAGTCGCATAATGGCTTTGCACGAAGAAGGGCTGAATATTAGCCAAATCTCCAGAGAGCTCGGATTAACGGTAAGAAAACGTATTAATAAACTACTGTTAATTTTTCTAATAGATTGCTGATATTATTTTATTTATAAAAATATATTTTTATAGATAGACAATATAATGAGTGATATTGAGAAATATTTAGCTATCGAAAAAGTAACTTTGTTTTACAAACTGTCGTTTTAAAATCAACGATAAACTTAAAAACTGGCCAAGTGCCAGTTGGACTCGTGCAAGAAGGGTTCCGTGCCATTATTTATACAACATTAGACACTATATTATAATATCGAGCAAAAAATGGCAAAAACACGTCTGTTGTATGGGAACTCCCTTAAATATTATTTTAATTTGAAAGTGAATATGCAACTAAATATTTTGTGAATATTATTTTATTCTATTTTTAGTATTTGTTCTGATAGCGGCAACAGAAATACATCTTTTGTGAAAATTTCAACTGTCTAGCTATCACGGTTAATGAGAAACAGCCTGGTGACAGACAGACAGTGGAGTCATAGTAATATTGCAAGTAACTCAAAGGCAACATGGGATCATATTTTTAAATTATAGATAATTGCGAATATATATCGATAGTTAAAAACTCATTTTAAAATGAAAGAAGAAAGAAATAAACGCAAAATCATAAATTCTGTTTGAGATAGATTTATTTAACGGCTTGTTGCAAATAACTATTTTTAAGTAGACGTCGAAAATTACGTTTTGTTATTTTGTTCTTCCTGATAGATATTGAATCTCAGACACTCCGAAGTGTTGCCAAACCGTTGTAGTGTCACTGCTGGCGTCGCGTCGCGCGCGATACAGCGAAGCGAAGAGCAACGTCGCGCGTAATGTTTTGACGCTGTCTGTCTCTTTTAGTATCGCACAAACAATAC